TATCTCTCATTGTCCTTGATGGTGGTGGTTGATCATATGAAACTGATGTTGTTATCCCAAAGTTGAGTCTGCCTTTTGCTCGTGCCCATAACTGGTGAGTGAGCCCTCCCTGTCCTTTGACTCGACCCTTGAGCCTTTTGGTTATATTTTCTCTTCCCCATCCCTCAGGGGACAGGGTAGGAGTGACTGAGAGCCTGCAGGGTGCTTTTGTTGCCAGCTGGGTAGACTCAAACCATGACACTCTCCAAGCACCATGATGCTACATACTTAAATTTCACAGGCAGGCACGATTCGTTTTGAGATCAACCGCTATTGTGCTCTTGAAGAGGCAGATGCACAATCTAGTCCAGAGGAGTCTTTTCCCTGTACATGGGTAGATGTGTCACAAGAGTGTGTAGAATGTCCAGTGACAGCTTAGAGATACAACAGAAGCAGGGTCCTACAGACCTGTCACAAGTAGTGATTCATCCTTGACAATCAGAAATTTAACACCCCCTACTCAACAGTCCGAGCAGAGCAGCTGTTTCTGAACATTGATGCTTACAGCCTTTTCAGGATACACAACAAAATCTGATAACCTTGTACAATACCTCAGGATTTAAAAGAAAGTGTCTTCTTTAGGTCATTGCAATCAGATTTGTCTATGGATCTTCCAGAGACCCTGGCCATGACCAGGTATCTCATGAGGAATCATAGACACCAGAGTCAGTAGAGGACTTGATACTAATCAAAGGATCAACACAAGCCCTACAGCTATTAGGTATATAATTATAGAAATTGTTCTCTGCCACCGGAAGGACCAGGGACCAATCAAGACCTGGGTCTGGCTTTCAAGCCTTGAAAAGGAGGTCATTGGTAGTTTCTGACTGGGAGAGAAAAGCCAGGGCCTTGGGAGGGTTGAAAGGAAATAGCAACTGGTCAAAGGGACACAGAAGTGGTGTTTGTGGACAGTATCAAGGGGAATAAAGAGTTAAGTAGTTAATTTTGGCCCTAAATTGGTTGCTGTCCTAAAATGGAATAGATATTAAACATCAATTAAAAAAAAAAAGGAGGGGGGGAATAGAATTTTAAAAAAGAAGTTAATACTCCCAGTGTCTGCAGCGTAGTGGCTCCTCAGACACAGGTTCTCTGATGTCAGGCTTGCTTTGAAAAGGCAGTGAAACCCAGTTTGTGTAATGACAGGCCTGATTCACATAGCTCCTCCAGGACAGAGAGATCAATTTGGAAGTGATGAATATAAAGAATTTGGATACTAAGGTTGTTGCATAGAATCCTAGGCCAAGTAATCATAGAATCGTAGAATGTATTGGGTTGGAAGTGACCTCTAAAGGTCATCTAGTCCAACTCCCTACAATAAGCAGGGACATCTCTAACTAGGTCAGGTTGCTCAGAGCCCCATCAAGCCTGACCTTGAATGCCTCCAGGCATGGGGCTTCCACTACCTCTGGGCAACCTGTTCCAGTGATCCACCACCCTCATATTAAAGAACTCTTTCCTAATGTCCAACCTAATCTCCCCTTTTCTGGCTTAAAACCATTACCCCTTGTCCTATCGCTACAAACCCTTGTGAACAGTTCTTCCCCTGCCTTCTTATGAGTTCCTTTCACCTATAGACTACTGATGAAGAGGAAATGGACAGACAAAGAGTAAGAGACCAAATGCAAAGGATTAGCTCTCCGAGGAGACCAGCTCCAGTGCAGGTAGGTCCGCACTGGGGAAGGGAAAATTGGCAAAAAGGCTGACAAAGAGCTCTTCTGGGAGCTTTTTGAAGCCGGGCAAGCGGCACGCCTGTGCTGGGGGCCAGCAGCTTGAGGGCAGGCTGCTGACGCGGCGCGGTCGGAGCTGGCACCACTGGCGGCAGCTCTGAACGAGGTGCAAACACGCCGGCGGCCACTCGCCGAGACCACACAGCCCCTCCTTGTAAAAGAAGCTCGGAGGGAGTGAGCAAACAAGCAGTGAGGGTGAGTATCCGGAGGGCCGCAGTTCGCGCAGCAGGACGCATGGGTAGGGCGCTAAGAGCTCTGCTAGCGCAAGAGGAAAGTTCAGGCAGTTCAGTTGGTGCTAACTGGTCCCCCCCCTCCTGGCTTGAAAGGCGAGAGTGAGCCCTGTTATTGGTTGTCACCCTCTTGGAAGATCTACCGCGGCAGTCCGTACGGTCAGGGGTAGTGGGGAGAGCACAGAAGATCTGACAGCAGCTAGTCTGGCTCTACCAAAATGGTGGGTACTCGCCTTGGGACCAAAACAATTGCTTCTTAAGAGAAAGCCCCAGTGATGTCTGATGTGTCCACCCAGACAGAACCGGTAACAGAGGAAACTTCAGGAGAGGCAGTAGGCTGCAGAGACTGCCCGAAGCCCTCTCCTGGGGAAAAGGTAAGTACCTGCACAAGGTGTGCACGGGTGGGTGACCTGTTACGCCAGGTGGCTGAGTTACAGGAAACAGTAACTAGGCTGCACAGCATTAGAGGAGCAGAGGCAGACATTAATAGGTGACTTCAGAACCAATTTCCAGCAACAGGCACCACTAAGGATGAAGCACTCTGAACACCAGTGTCCCACAAACGCAGAGCTCCACCACAGGCTCCACCTTCCAGCATCACAACTGAAAAGCGATTTCAAGTTTTGACAACTGTAGACACTCATAAGCAAGGCCTGCAAGGCGCAACTGAACCAGCAGTCACAGCACGTATCGCAGAGAGAAATGATGTGTGCTCGTAGTGGGAGACTCCTTGTTAAAGGGCGCAGAAGCACCCATCTGCCGACCTGATAGGGAGTCACGTGAGGTAAGCTGCCTTCCTGGAGCTAAGATATGTGATGTTGCTGAGAGGGTGCCACAATTTGTCCAAAGTATGGACTACTATCCACTATTACTCTTTCATGTAGGCACGAATGACACCGTAAGTCTAAATTTAGGCAGAATCAAGAAAGACTATAAGGCCCTGGGGGAGAAAGTGAAGAAAGGTTATCTTTTCTTCCATATTACCAGTTCAAGGATTGGGGGCAGACAGGAATAAACACATAATGCAGATCAACTTCTGCCTATGTGGCTGGTGTCTCCACAAGAGTTTTGGCTTTTACGACAATGGGACCTTGTATGAGGACCACAACCTACTCGGAAGGGATGGAATCCACCTGTCTAAAAGAGGCAGGGCAAATTTTGGCAGCAAGCTGGCCAGCTTGGTGAGGCAGGATTTCAACTGAAGGACTCAGGGGGAGGGATCAAAAATGGCAACGTCCATGGCACCATCACCACTACAACCAATTGGGAAATAAATCAGGCCAACCAGAGTACTGTAAAGTGTGCCTCAGCTGTCTTCCTAAATGAAAATCAAAAGACCGGCCAGCTGAAGCCTATGTATGCTAACACATACAATCTGGGAAACAAACAGGAGCAACTGGAGCTCCGTGCCCAGTCAGAAGGCTATGGTATCATAGGAATAACTGAAACATGGTAGGGCAACTCACATGACTGGGGAGATTGTGACTGACGGCTATAGGCTATATCGTAAAGACAGGCAGAGTAGAAGAGGAGCAGGAGTTGCACTCTATATTAAAGAGAACCTTGAATGCATAGAACTCAACTATGGTAGTTGTGGAAGCCCTATTGAATGCCTCTGGGTCGAAATCAGAGGTGTTGTCTCCAAGGGAGACTTACAGTAGGCATCTGTTACCGACCCCCAAGCCAAGACGAGACCAATGAAGTGATACTTGGGTCAATTAAACAGGCTTTGGGCCAACAAAACCTGCTTCTTATGGGAAAATTTAACTACCCAGACATCTGCTGGGAGAACAACACAGCAGTTCATCTGTCATCCATCAAGTTCCTGGAATGCTTAGAGGACTCCTTCCTCATGCAAATGTTAGATGTGCCAACCAGGAATGGGGCGCTGCTGGACTTGCTGCTCACTGACCAAGAAAACATGCTCTAATATCTCAGTTAGTGACAGCCTTGGCTGCAGTGATCACAACATTGTGGAGTTTGGGATAAAGCTGAGCACGCTGAAGGTTAGTTCCAAGACAAAGATTTTGGACTTTAGAAGAGCAAACTTCAGCTTCCTCAGGGCTCAGCTGGAAGGGATCCTGTGGGAAGCTTCCATGGAGGATAAAGGAGCTAGTGAGTGCTGGGAGTTTTTCAAGAACACTTCCCTAGATGCACAAAGCCAGTTTATCCCCTCTAAAGGCAAGGGAAGTAGGTGGAGTAAGAGACCCCCTTGGCTTAACCATGAGCTTCTGGGTCTGCTCAGAACCAAAATGGAGTTGTACCAGAGATGGAAAAGTGGAACATCACCTGTTGAAAATTACAAGGGCATTGCCAGGGTGTGCAGAGATGCAGTTAGGAAAGCAAAAGCTCGGCTTGAGCTGAAATTGGCCAGAGGTGTCAGAAATTTCAAGAAAGGTCTTCTTCAGATACTATTCTTCAGACATGTTGACAACAAGTAGAAACAGGAGAGTATTGGCCCACTATTAAAGAGAAAAGGTGAACTAGTCACCAACAACACTGAAAATGCAGAGGTCCTCAACATTTTCACCTCTGTCTTTACCAGTGCTGTTGGGTCCCAGGCCACGGGAACAAAAATCCAGATTCATGCAGATGCAGACCCGCTGTCACTGAAGGAAGAGTTGGTGTGTCAACAGTTACAGGAGCTTGATCCGTACAAATTGATGGACCCAGATGCCATCCACCCAAGGGTGTTAAGAGAGCTGCTGATGTTGTTGTGAGGCCACTCTCCATAATCTTTGAGAAGTCATAGAGATCAGGAGACATGCCTGAAGACTGGAAGAAGGCTCATGTCACCCCTATCTACAAGAAGGGTTCCAAGGAAGACCCAGGTAATTATAGGCCCATTAGCCTCGCATCAATCCCTGGGAAAGTTATGAAGCAAATCCTCCTGGGGACTATCGCAAGTAGACTGAAGCACGAGTTTGGGAAAGGCCAACGTGGATTCACCAGGGGCAAATCGCGCTTAAAAAACCAGATTGCTTTCTATGACAAAGTAACCCGCGTGGTTGATGCAGGGCAAGCAGTGGACATTGTCTACCTGGACTTCTCCAAGGCTTTTGACACTGTTCCCCACAGCCTCTCCCTTGAAAAACTGACACGTTATGACCTAGACAAGTGGTCTGTGCAGTGTGTTTGGAACTGTCTGACAGGCCATACTCAGAGTGTGGTAGTAAATAGTTCATTCTCAAACTGGCAACCAGTCACAAGTGGGATCCCCCAGGGATCAATATTGGGCCCAGTGCTGTTTAATATCTCCGTAAGTGATTTGGATTTTGGGATGAAAAACACCCTGATGAAGTTTGCAGACATCAAAATGAGTGTGGTAGTTGACACTCCAGAAGGGGGAGCCACCCTCCAGGAAGAACTGGTGGAGTGGGTTGGGAGGAACGTTATGAAGTTCAGCGTGGACAAGTGTAAGGTCTTGCACCTGAGAATACATAACCCAGGAATGCAAATCAGACTGGGATCCACCTGGCTGGAGAGCGGCCCTGTGGAAAAGGACCTGGGGGTCTTGGTGAGTGAACAGTCTGCTGCAGTGGCAAAGAAAGCCAACAGGATGCTGGGTTGCATTAACAAGGACATCACCAGAAGAGATAAAGAAGTCATTATCCCACTCTACTCAGCACTGGTCAGACCAGACCTTGAGTACTGCATTCAGTTTTAGTCCCTGCTGTACAAAAAGATACAGACAATCTGGAAAGGGTCCAGAGAAAGGCCACGAAGATGATCAGAGGACTGGAAGACCTGCCATATGAAGAAAGGCTGAGAAAACTGGGTTTGGTCAGCCTTGAGAAGACAAGGCTTAGGGGAGAGCTTATTACCATGTACCAGTATATAAAAGGGTGGCTGCCAAGAAGATGGAGACTCCTTTTTTATGAGGAGTCACATGGAAGAGACAAGGGGTAAACGATACAAGTTACTCCTGAGGAGATTCCAATTGGACTCTGGAAGAAACTTTTTCACCATGAAGACAATTAGACATTGGAATAATCTCCCAAGAGAAGTGGTGGATTCCCCTACATTGGACAGTTTTAAGACTCACCTTGACAGGGTGCTAGGCCATATCATTTAAACTATATTTTTATCTTGAAAGGTTGGACTAGATGATCCTTGAGGTCCCTTCCTACATGATATTCTATGATTCTATGATTCTATAGGCAGCTCACTGGCACCTAAAGATTTTCTCCAGCTCTTCTACTGTGTAGCTACAAGGTCTCCTAGGACCGCCAAGTTAGTGCCAAACACCTGGCTTATTAAAACAAAGTGAGGATGAGGAAGGAAAGGTGGCAGGAAGTAACACACCACCTGAGCTGCTTCAGGATTGCTGCCGCAGGTTCTCTCCTAGGGTAGCATTGACTCCTGACACTGAAATGCAGCCTCAGCACCGGCTTGACAGTACCGATTAGTTCTGGAAGACAAGGTGAGCTTTAGCACAGAGACTTCCATCAACCCAATTTCCCTTCTCTATCTCTGGCTGTCCGCTTGTGCCAGCACCACCAGAGACCTCTATGCTAAAAAGCACCTAGGCTTTTCCATACCACCTCTCCCCATCTCCATCATGAGCTTTCAGACATACTCTAGCCTGAAACCGAAACTAAAATTCACCTTTGTTTAACAAAACATGGGAACTGAGAGTGGCAGAAGCCCACATTCCACTTGCTTTAGAAATGTAAGGACTGCAGCTATTGCAGAAGACTCCTGCTTCAACTAAGCTGTGGCACTGTCTCACAGAAAGACAAACGGATGTCCCTCTGCCTCCTGAAGCTTAGAAGAAAACTTGAACACCTGCCCTAGACATGAATATCTCAACAGCAAACCGGTAATGTTCCTACCATTCTTTGTAATCGTGCCCAAATGTGATACCACCAGCTTCTTCTGACATCAAAGGGAAACAAGGCAGTCAGGAAAGAGATTCATTGCAATAGTTTCCTGCTAGCAAAAAGAAAGTGAATAGAATGATTACACCTTAATTTTCTTAAAGAAAATTAATATTGTGGTCATCTGACTCAGGGCTATTAGAGGAGGGTAAAGTGGATTGCAACTGTATTATTTTATCTCCAGGAATATGCTGTTACTTTCCTAGAACGATTTTCACTTGGAAGGAATAGGAAAGGTCTTCCTGTCCCCCTACACTTAATGACTCGCTGCAGGGTGGGATACTGAGCACAATGAAACAACTAAGTTAAGTCTGTTATTAGGACGTGAACGCCAGATATATTTTCACTATAAAAAAGCACCATTATATAACAATAAGACCTGTCAGTCATGCCATGTGTTTCTGCACGTTTCCAGAACCCTTATGAGGAACCACTGTTTACCAGGTAGTACTTGCCCTGCATTAACTTTTGAAAGGAAAGTAAAGAATTTTATTTCTACCAGTGGTGGAAAATGAGGCAAAGGCATGAATCTGGACTTGGAGTGCTTCTATTCTGCTTCTCTTCAAACTTTCTGAGTTTGTGTTTGTTGACACTCCCCACAAAATAGAGTTATTTGCAAGATTTATATTTGGATTTATAATTTGTTAAAAATGCAAGGAATTAAACTTTACTTTACAAAATCAGGTGTTGGAGAATTGGATTTTCACTGGTTTTAAGAGAAAAAAAGATCTTGATGGAACTGATGGGTTTTTCTGCCTATCAGCAGGTGATCTTAGTTAACACCTATCCAAACTGAAATGGAATCTGAATCACAGCAAAGGCTTTCCTTTCTTTGTAAATTCTTAAGATGAAACTGTTTAAAAAGTGAGTGGTTTGTAATCCCTTAGTATATTTTTAAGTCTAGGTTCCTCAAATACTGTTTGAAATTGCTGAGTACGGAAAGATGCTCTGGAGAGAACAGAATTGTTAATATAAGATTGGGTTGCGCTGTGCATGTGAGTTGGATAACAAAAGCAGATACAGACTGTAAGGTACATTGTTAAAGGCTGAAATAAATCCAAAGAATTGTTTTGAAGTCAGTGAAGTTACCCTTCTGGGTTTTATTCTGTTTTGGCAATTTTGGACATCCATTTACTTGCGTGAACTGTGAAGTGGATGATAAACAAATAAGATTGCTTTTTCTACAATAAATACTTGGTTCTTTCTTGAACATTTGCCCTTCCAGGTCTCAATGTTTATTGCAGTTATCAGTGTTATTCCTATCCTACAAGTATGGGGGAAAAGCGCTGAACACAAAGAGATGCAGGAATTTGCTCAGTGTCATCCTATACACATAGCAGACATGTTCCCCTGCCACAGGCAACTGTCAGACCCACCAGCACATGGGAATCACTACTGAACATTTAATTTGCTGTCCCTGAAATACACAGATTCAGGAAAGATGATTTATCTTTGATAATTTATTTCTGTTAAAAGATCTAGAGTTGAAGGGACCCAGAAAGCAGTTATTAAGCTGTTTCAGTGAAGTGATTTAGGGATTTGAATAATGCTGAACATAGTATGCAAATCAGGACCCACCTGTTAAAGGAAAATCAAATGTCAAGAAGAGTTCAAACAAAGCCTATGTCTTAATTCTTATTATTTATGAATTTGCAAATACATTTGTGTAGGCAAGAAGGGTTTACCACAAATGTGTGCTTAAAAGGCACTCACAGAGGAGTGTTTTCTACCTCATCCTGTTCTTCTTTCCCCTACACCCCCAACAGGGATTCAACCTAAATGGGTCATGAATTGACTAACTTTGATGTGAATGGTAAACAGTTCATCTCCTATTCTACGAAGTGTTGGTTAATATTTATAGGGATTGAGGAATATTAAGTTATTTGAGAAGGGGCACATATATTCCCATGAATACATGGGAGGAATGGCAGGGAAGAGATTGTCAAAGTTTACAAAGACATCAGATCATGAAGAGACTTGTGAAGACATTAGATGGTGAAGGAGCTAGTTATTTAAAAAAGGAGCTCAGTCATTTTAATGAACACATTTCATGAAAGTTTAATATTGTCTTACGTTGTGCATCTTAAATCCTAGGCTGCTGAAACAAGGTGATTACATATGAATTTCCACTTTCCTTGTTCATCCAACATTGTTTTAAAAAGCATTAACCCTAACCACTCAAAGGGAAAGTAGAGCTTTCAAATTTAGAGCTTCAAAAATTTTGATTTATGCAAACTTCTTGATTTTAGAAAGTTTTGCTTCATCTCTGAAAGTGCTGACACTGGGCTTCTGTTGGAGCCCTAACTGACATGATAAACCATAAAGCTTATCAGAGTTATGGGATTTTTTTCTCCAAAAAAATAGTGAATGAAGCATGCAGACAGAGAGTGTAATCGTTATGGTGCCTTAGCCTGGCACAGTGCAGAGATCAGATAAGAGGAGTTCCACTTTCACCAAAGGAGGAAAGCTCTAAGTCTTGCATCCTTTGTCCCACCTTCAGCCCTTTTACACTCACAACCGTATGGATATCACCACATTCCTTTGGTTTCTCATCTACTGTACATTGGAATTTTTCATCTTTCCAGTTTTCTACTGTGTTTGTGGGGGAAAGGTGTTTTTAAGACTCAGTTGTATCTCTCATTATCCTTGATGGTCATGATATTTAAATTAAATTGATGTTGTTATCCTCAAGTTGAGTCTGTCTTTTGCCCATGACCATGATGGGTGAGTGAGCCCTCCTTGTCCTTGGTCTCAAGCCTTTTTGGTTGTATTTTGGATGGGGTAGGGGTGAGTGAGTGGCTGCGTGGTCCTTTATTACTAGCTGGGTGGGCTTAAAACACGACACCTCTGATATCTGCCATTCGAAGAGGAGATGTTATTCTGCCTAATACTCTGCCTGCTACATCTTTCTCTTAATGCCCCATCATACCCTAGTTGGAGCAATTGGTGCTGCAGCAGCTTGGAAGATTTTCGTATGTTTTCCACTGCCAAATTACTATTTCCCTTTCTCATCACCTTTGGTCTCAGCCCTCTTCAGTTATGCAGATGGAGATGGGGAAGCATTGTATAATTAAGCACTAACATGACAGCATATACATTTGTCAGTTGGTGAGGTGTGCTATAGATATCTGCCTTACCACACAGGCTGTTCTCCGCAGCAGCTGCTGAGCAGAAGCCTCAGATTATCAGTACAAAAGACTGCTTTAAAAGATACCAGTAAACATTGAAATAATAGTAAAAGCAATTTGAGGTGTAGGGAGGTAAAGTAATCCAACCAATATCATAGAAGGATAGAATCACAGAACGGTTTGGGTTGGACGAGACCTTAAAGATCATCTAGTTCCAACCCCCACTGCCAGAGACAGGGACACCTCCACTAGACCAGGTTGCTCAAAGCCCCATCCAGCCTGGCCTTGAACACTGCTAGGGGGTGTCATCCACAGCTTCTCTGGGAAACCTGTTCCAGTGTCTCACCACCCTCACAGTAAATAATTTCTTCCTAATATCTGATTTACTCTACCCTCTTTCACTTTGAAACTCTTACCCCTTGTCCTATCACCACACTCCCTGATAAAGAGTTCCTCCCCATCTTTCCTGTAGGCCCCCTTGAAGTACTGGAAGGCCACTATAAGATCTCCCCAAAGCCTTCTGTTCTCCAGGCTGAACAACCCCAACTCTCTCAACCTGTCCTCATAGGGGAGGTGCTCCACCCCCCTGATCATCTTTGCGACCCTCCTCTGGAACCACTTGAGCAGGTCCATGTGCTGGGGCCCCAGAGCTGGATGTA